CTGTTACTGTGGACACAGAACTACAACTTACTGAAAACGAGCAGAGTCCTGCCTAGTGGACAGAATGCTGCGAGAAAATGCCCACAACACCGAACCACTTCGAGGCAAAACCAAAAAATAAAACTATGATGAAAGTCTGCCCCCAACAAGGGGGAGAAACCAAACAGCCTCGCATGGAAAATAGTGTAAAAGGTGGCGAGACAGCGGCGAGTATCAACGTAGTCACGGAGAAGATGATTCACGATGCGGAGAATTCATCTCATCCGAGCTCCTCTGTTGTTCAATCATCGAACAACCTCGCAAAGATCACGACGAACCTGTTAATCTAGACAAATTAAACAAAATACAAGGCGGGCAGATCAGAGAGAAAGTCTTTGCAGCCTTGGACGTGGAAGTCGAGTCGAACGGAAGTTAACTTTCAAAAGCTGCGACACGCTCGCATAAATATTGCAAAAGCGTGCTACAAAAATATTATACAAATCTCAGGTAAAATTGTAGTGGCAGCCCTCGGCCACCATACATCAGTTTGAGCCTGTCAGTGTATGCACAAACTGAGATATTCGCTTTTATGAAGAAAGCAAATACACTGATTGTGCATTAGCATGTTGGCATACTTGTTGTGTTATGCAAAGCGCTACATACACTTCCTTATGGCACATCGTTATTTTTTCCGTATTTCCATGATAAGCTGCATGGAGTTGTGGGGGCGTCGCTTGGTGGCATGACCAGTATCATGAGTGGAGTGCTTTTCCCTGACCGAGTTAACCAGTGAGTTGTATATATTGCTTTTGTGATTTTTATATAATTTAAATATGCTCTCAGAGTCGGTACTAGTTCCATTTTATATGCTATGCTCTTATAATTACACTTGAATTTGTCCTTTTAGTAAGCTCCAGTGTTTTTGTCTGTCTTCAATAGGTTTTTCTCTTCCATTTTTCAAAACAGTGTTGTGACCATTTCTTCTTGTGCAAAGTCTCATCCAACTTCCATTGCAATGCGGTACCTGCAGCGACGCACAATCATGTCTGATCCCAACTGGAATTACGGACACTACTATGACAAAGACTACCCAAAGGTGGGAATGAAGCTGGCAAGGTAGGCTCACTGCTATATATCGTCTTTATTTATTAGGAAAGCAGGATGAACAGTTTCAGTTGATTGAAATGCAGTAAAATATGTTGTAGCAGTCGCCTTTATAAAACGGTTACCTGTCTATAAAGAACACTTGGTGTTTCTATTGGGTGGCAGGTGGACAGTAAAAAACCTCTATAAAACAATAAAATGTACACCTTTCTATAGAGGATGCTTCAGGTATTTTCCTTGTGTGGCACTTGTACAGTGAAACCATTTTAATGGAGCAGATACTTGTCTATAAAGCACCCATTTGGGGTTTACCTTGAGTGAACCTTGTATATAGGTGTTACTGGATGTTCTGGTGAGACCTTGTTTGATGATTTACTCATTAAATTTAATAATACAATATAATACCGAAATACGTGATATATACAATATATTCAGTTGTTTCATGGATAAGATATCAATATTAACATCTGCAAGAGGTTTACTAAGCAAGTTGTTTTTCCACAGAGAGATTGCAACAATCACCTACCGAAGTGGACCTGAATGGGACTTGAGATTTGGCAGGGAAAGGATAGATTCATCCGAACCTCCAAGCCTCTGCCCAAACTTTGTGATAGAAAGCTACTTGGATTACCAGGGGGAAAAATTCTGCACCAAGTTTGATCCTAATTCCCTACTATACATTTCCAAGGTATATCTTGTGTTTTCGCCTAAAGAATGAGAGATCTATATAAATATAATATATTAATAAAACAACAGTAATATCACACATTATAGCCAGGATTTCAAAAATAATTTCCAAGCGGTCTCGTGTTTTCCCTACTTTTTACAATACACACCGTTATTGCTTGTGTAACACTAACAGCAACTGTCTAGAGTAATGCTAACATGCTTTAGAACCTTTGTATATATATTCACGAAAACATGCACGATTTGAATTTTGATTACTTGTTTTGATTTCCACGGCCATTTTTTGCCAATCTCGGGTACCGAGTTACTATATAGAATTAGATGCCCTTTTGTTTGAATTTGGTGCACTATAGGTGGACTTACTTTGAAGGCGTCATTTGCAAATTAATTGTCGCTTTAATCAAATATGCAATGGTGTTAGGATGTGTTCAATTCCAATTTTCCATGCTATAAAAGCATAAATTCAGAGTGTTTTTCAAGTTGGTGTAATTAGTAACATATATCCGCTATCTGGGGAGCCTATGTTTTGCTATATTTTTTCCAGATAATGCATTTTTATGCTACGATTTCGAAAGAAATCCTTTAATAGTACAAATAGTAGTAGTAGTGGCGGCGGCGGTGGTGGTCGTAGCAGTAGCAGCAGCAGTGGCGTAGTGGGGGGGGGGGGCCAAAGAGGGCCATAACGTTGATTCGAAAGTTGAAAAAAAAAAAAATAATCTACTAAAAAGAGAATTGTCGTAGTCAGAATGAAGGCTGTACATGTACTTAACAGTGCCTCAAATACCATCTCTTGCGATCTACATTTTCAAAATTTGAAGAACAACGAACAAAAATGTTGCCTTTTCGCATGGCCCCCAAAACAAAGATTGCAGAGCTGAGAGGTGGGGGAGCGTAGGGTGTGGAGAGAGGGAGGCGGAGGAACCATTAAAATATTAAGTCCTCCACTATTTTGTGCAGTTTGCTGTTTTTGCCCCCCCCCCCTGTTAGAAAATCCTGGCTACGCCACTGAGCAGCAGCATTGGCAGCAGCAGCAGTAGGGAAAATATTAATAGTAATAAAAAATAAACAAGTTGTTATGAATCACACTAGCCTATACAATGCAGTTAATATAGTATTATTATGTAACACCAGTTTTGTTTCATGCCGCTGGATGGATAGGCAATGGATCTATTTGATGTATCTGAAGACTATGGATCGCTAACAGAAGGTCTTGGGCGGATCACGTGTCCAGTGCTGGTGCTTGGTGTTCAGACTGACATTCTGTTCCCAATATGGCAGCAACGTCAGCTCGCTAAGGCTTTGCAAGATGCAGGTTAGAAGAGAAAGAAATATTGCTATTTCACAACCAACATTAATATTCAGATGGCTCTATATATAGTATGTTATTGTTTAAATTAATAGTGGTAATGTTGGGGAAACTAATATTGTTATACAATGGCTATAAGTTATAACGAATAGTGGCTGTGAGTGAGGTTTAAATACGTACACTAGAGTGTCATTTTCAACAAACTTGTATTTTCTTTTACTTTGTTATTTAAAAATTCTTCTGTATAGGTAACAAGTGGGTAACATATTATGAACTCAACTCCATATTTGGACATGACACGTTTCTACTGGATCTTAATGGTGTTGGAGCTGCGATCAAGGTAAGAATAATAATTTATTAAAAGTTCTTCGCACAAAATTAATTTACGATTGCTAATTGTTATGCATAGTTCCTCTTGATTATTAACAGTGTTGTTGTTGAGTCAATAGATAGCGTCAAGAGCGTACAACGGTGAAATGCTGAAACCATGTTGCAGTATTAGTCAAATTAATAAACTTTCCCCGTTTTATTTTGACGATTCTTTGCAGTATTATTGATCAGCTGTCCTACCTTGCTAATATAAAACAAACCGCTTGTCCCTACGATTCCCCTACCCTGAGATAATGAGCGGTGAAAATCTGGTATTTTCGCCAAAAACCGACTCCAGATCAGTCAGTACTGCGACTGTCTCTCGTTTTGGCGATAGCTTCGGGAAATCTCGCGTGTTTCCGTCATTCATTGACAATGAAATTTATTATCTTTTATTAATTTAAAATCTACTATCTATTCTCGCATTTCTAGTCATTGACACAGCCATTACTCCACAAAAACGTCTTGTTATTTATCGCCATGGTTATGACCCGCCCCTTACGCTGGATTATAGATATATACAACATATGTATTGTATATATCTATGGCCGGATGTAGTAACGCTGTAGTAATAACGTATCGAGTCAGCGTTACACAGCAGCGGCTGGAAGCAACATACAGTGCACAAAACGAGAGACAGTTGCAGTACTGACTGATCTGGAGTCGGTTTTTGGCGAAAATACCATATTTCCACCGCTCATTATCTCAGCATGTAGGGTCATCGTAGGGACAAGCGGTTTGTTTTATATTAGCAAGGTAGGACAGCTGATCAATAATACTGCAAAGAATTGACAAAATAAAACGGGGAAAATTTATTAATTCGACTTATACTGCAACATGGTTTCAGCATTTCACCGTTGTACGCTCTCCTTCTTTATACGCTCTTGATAGCTTACAATTATTCTAGAATACTGATTATAACAGCTATATGTTTCTGTAAATACAGATGTGAAGGACGAACTATGCTCACGTACTACAACTGTTGTAATGACATTCTTTGCTTTTTATGCAGGGTTTCCTGGAGAGTGGTAAAGTTACGTGTGATAATCCTGGCAAGTAAGCAAGTGTACTTCCCTACAGCCAAGCTTTTGTCGGGTAATGCTCTAATAAAGAGTAAACGTTTATTGACAAATGAATCGAATCAATCACACGTTTAATTTATAGATAAGATGTATCTTTATGCTAAGGCCAAAAATTTGTATTAAATTTCCAGCACCTAATTATGTGACAACCCGAATTTGAATTTTTATGTAAAAATGGTATTTTGGATATTTTCCAATTACCACAAAGTGTGAGAAAGCAAAACTCTCGCCACAAGTCAAGCACAGTATGAACCAAAAACGCACGTCCGGAAAGGACCGCAAAAAATGAAGAAAACTGCCTAAAATTCAAGTTGTATGTTCAGATTGGATATTTATGCAAAGAACAATAGCTCATAAAAGCTGGCACGTGATATCAAACCCTGACATGTTTTTTATAGCAATGTGTTGCCATTAAAATGAGTGTAAAATTAATATATTCTGATTTGCAATGGCAGAGAAATATCTATTTATACATCGGCTATTATGGCAGAAATCGAAATGGAGAAATCAGCGTATTTCTACTTTTCACTATGATCGACCTGTGTGAAAAATGGGTGAACGTATTTTATTTTTATTTTTGTTTAGTATGTGAAATATCTACTGTTAGTAACTTAGTACTTACTGCGACATATCCATGACTAACTGAAACCACTAAATTAATCAAATGTTCTGTGCACCTTGAGAAATTATGAGAAAATACGTGGTTACCATCGCAATTTCATGTGAAATGCGCGAACGATGTGTACTGCATGACATCTCTAAGCTACGTGTCAACAAACCTGGGCCTTTATGTAAGGCTATGTAACGAGATGTAAATGCTATTTTTGACCGGGCAGTAATTTTGACTATCACTGGCAGATGACAGCTATAGAAGGGTTGATGTTGATGGATACTGGTATAGTGAATACCATGAAAATGCTGGTTGTATCATGTCTCTGACGTCATCAGTGACGTCAGCCGCGGCTCACTACACATGTATGCGGGCAATCAAAACTCTCAGAAAGTTCACATGCATTGTTATATGGAGAAATATGTATGAACAGATGTGGCACCTAGTGTTAGCCATCGAATAAGAATGAAAGTGAAAAATCGATAAAATTTCACATATAAGCTTCATTGTATCCTTAATTGTGTTGAATAAAATTGTTCCATTTTAAGCGATGTATAGAAAGGGGTGATATAGTACTCTAATACATGCTTCGTGAACATTACCTTGAGATTTAAGACATGCAGTAAGATTAACGAAATGTGATATGTAAGGATTATAACACCTATGTATTTTCTATGTTTTTACCTGTTTTTGTCATCGTGATAAAAAGATGAGATAGGTGTTATATTTTCATTGTAAAAGAAAATGTTACAAATAAGTATTATGTTAAAATTAGTAAATAATGTTATAAGTAATTATGATGTACCATCATACAGATAATATACCATAAATCTTACAGGAAGTGTGAAAATGTTTTTTACTGGGAGTGGTGATTTTTATCTTGACGTGATTCGTGATTCCATTTTAGAAATAAACTAACAACTGAGAGATTCCTGGTGGAACCCCCACAAATTCCTGGTGGGGTTTGGTTTACACCTGACCACAGGACCCACATCGTTTAACTATAGATCTAGAGTAAATGGTGAAAATGTGGAAACTAATGGAAACTGCATCGTATTAAATTTCAGCATTTTGACGTCATAGTTGAAATAGCATAATGATATGTATTTATCATAAACCTGTAGAATCTTGCCGAGCTTACACAAAGCCAAAGTGTTCAGCGTATTGGACGCAAAGAATGGATTCTGGCACGTAGAACTAGACAAAGAGAGCTCGCTACTCACTACATTTAACACTCCATTTGGGAGGTATTGCTGGCTTCGGTTGCCGTTTGGTATCTCATCAGCGCCATAAGAATACCAGCGAAGGCAGGACCAGGCTGTTGAGGATCTGCCTGGCTTGCACAGTATTGTGGACGACATCTTGGTCTATGGCGAAGGGGACTCTGAGAAGGAAGCCATCGCAGATCATGACGTTAAACTAAGGAATCTACTGGAAAGCTGTCGTGCGATTGGGTTGAAGCTCAAAAAGGGCAAACTCCGACTTCGACACAAAGAAGTTCGCTTCATTGGTCACCTAATCACAGCTAAAGGTCTCAAGCCAGATCCGGCGAAAGTGAAAGCAGTCACAGAGATGCCGGAACCGACTGATGTTGCTGGCGTGCGTCGATTCATTGGATTTGTGACGTACCTGAGTAAGTTCTTACCTGGACTGAGTGACCATTGTGAACCACTAAGGAAGCTGACACAGCAAGACATGGAGTGGTGCTGGCTGGAAACACACTCAAATGCGGTGCGCGAGATAAAACGACTGGTGACTTCGCAACCAGTACTGCGTTACTTTAATGCAAAGGAAGAAGTGACTCTACAATGTGATGCATCGGAAAAAGGACTTGGAGCCGCTCTCCTTCAAAATGGTCAACCGGTTGCATTCGCAAGTCGAGCACTCACAGATGTAGAAACGCGCTATGCGCAAATAGAGAAAGAACTCCTTGCAGTGGTGTTCGGACTCGAGAGATTTCACCACTACACGTACGGTAGGCAGGTCACCGTCCAGAGTGATCACAAACCTCTCGAAATGATCGCTAAGAAGTCTCTTCACTCCGCTCCGAAGCGTTTACAGCGAATGCTGCTACGTTTACAGAGGTACACGTACACAGTAATGTATCACCCTGGAAAGTCAATGTACCTAGCGGACACTCTCAGTCGCGCTTTCTTGGTAGACAAAGATGCTCAACTGGAAGGATCAGAACTCTCTGACTACGAGACCATAAACATGGCTCAAGACATTCCAATCACGGATGCACGTCTACAAGAGATCCAACGGGAGACAGCGAAGGATGAGACTCTGAAGGTACTACAGGATGTGATCCTACATGGCTGGCCTGAAAAATACTCTATGACTGCTAGGGAGGTCAGACCCTACTACCACGTGCGTGACGAACTCGTAGTGCAGGCTGGAGTTGTATTTCGAGGCGAACGCATAGTGATACCAAGGTCACTGCGTTCCGACATAACCTAAAGAATTCACTCGTCTCACGTCGGC